CCCTAAAACCCTAAACCCTACAAAAGCCATCAAGCATCCTGCCGGAGGAGCCCCTTGGCCCGGTCCTGGATACGGAGGCTCTCTTCAAGAACCTGCTGAATGCCGAGGACGTCGGGTTCAGGGTATACCTGGGAATCCGAAACCCTACCGGTTTAGGGGTTCTACCCGCTAATTAAGGGGTCATAACCTACTATTTTGTAGGGTTTGGGGTCACAGGTAGAAATTCGAGGTTTGTAGTGTTGACGGTTTAGGGGTTGGAGTTTAGTATTTGGATTTGAAGGTGCTGGGTTTGGGGTAAGCGGTTTAATGAGGTTCCTCAGCGACGTCAATGTTGAAACAACAGGGAGAGTTCACGGGATGCATGTAAAGTATGTCATGTCATGCCATGCCATGTCGTATCAAATATTGTGCTTCAAGTATGTAACTATCCGCATGCTGTTTGCATGTATGTATGTATGCATGTATGTATGCAAGTATGTATGCATGCAGGTTTATGTAAGTAGGTATGTATGCCTGTATGCATGCAAGTATGTATCTATGTGTTTATGTATTGATGTATTCTGCACTTATCTAGACATGTTGCTCAATTTGTAAACCGGCACATTGTGCAGTCCTGTAAAGTAAAGTAAGGTATTTTATAATTTAGTTCAACGCAGTGTAGTGTAGTGTCGTGTAGAATCTTTAATGTCGTGTAATGTGACGTTATGCTTTATTAAGATAAGTTGTGTTATTATGATCTATCACGCAACATACTGTAATTAGATGAACTATGGCTTGATGTGACGTGATGTGATGTATGTGTATACTTGCAATTATATTTATAATTAATATCGATGGGTATGTATATATATATATATATGTACCCCCCCCCCCCCGATGTACCTGCCTGTTTGGTGTGTTTACACCACCGGTGTGTGTCTGCAGAACTTCATGTGCACGGGCGGCTGCTCGAGCCACACAATAAGCAGTATGCACACAATACCCACGGACACTCAAAACTCGTGAATAGCGAATCGCTGCGGCAGCACAAGAAGGAACGGCGTAGCAGTTGAGTGCTACTGCATTCGTGGATAGCAACTAAATACCGCTTATTCGATTGAGAAGCAGATAGCACGCGAAAACGCAAATATGCACCAAGTATTCACAAGCGACGAAGTCATGCAATGCCCTCGCCATAACTTGAAGAGTACGTGAATACTCAAGTTGTTTACAAGGTATTGCAACATTCAGCAGAGAAATTATGGCTTAGCAAGCCTATTACACAATATCTTGGCTAATATCATGTAGATCTGAAGCATATACCACTGGAACATTGGTTAAGTTGTATGTGAACATCACATGGTCGACGAGTATTAAATGATTTCTTACAATTGTCCTTCTTGTTAAATGATACTTACATATACGTAGAGAGATCGGCACTGCACATGAATTAGGTTTCCGGCGAGTATTTAGATGGGCTTTAACTATTGCATTAAGCTGTAGTAGTGAGACACAGCCTGAAGACGACGTAGATATTACGCTCTTGACGAGAATCTTCCATTATTGGGTTTCAATTGTGAATGGAAAGATGCAGCGAGCATGACCCAAACACTAAACGAGTAAGACACAGAATAGAGGAAAATAGACTTAATGCTCAACAAGTAGGCTTGAAGTAGCAATTAAAGTAAAGAGTATCTACACAGTGGTTCTGTACGGATGATACGTTTGACTAAGTACCGATTACCTGTGCATCACATTTTGTTGGTTGCCTCTACTTGTTCCGGAATGCAGTTCCGGAATGCAGTTGAGCATGAATAACATGTTAATATAGCAAAGAACTCAGTTTTCTAGTATGGAACTATTGCTTAAGGTTTATGTGAACCCGTTTGAATTTTCGCCTTATGTTGAAGTAGTAGTTGGACACCATATTGAGCATCAATTAGGTATCAAACCGATATTTGTATTTGTATTGGGCACTTCATCGCAGTTGTCTGGCACGTGTACCAAAACCAACTTCAAGGTGGAATTCGCAACGTCGTGAGGCAGATTCTTGCAGATTGTTACTTGCAAGAGAAGTCATGGCAGTGATGAACTTGCACAGACATTTTGATAATTTGAGCTCCAGAGGAGCGATGAAAGGTCGTAAGCAACCAAGGCTTGCAAAACTTACATCTGATAAATGTCTCACGAAAATGAAACTGCGTGACATTGTTGTAGTGGTGCTTACGGTACTTCCAGCTGGATGTATGTGCGTGTGAATGTGTTTTCGTACATGTTGTGGGCTGTGTGTGCAGCTGTTGTTGATGTGTCCAATCATTTCCGCTCAAGCGTGAGGCTACGGCAAGTTAGCGTTGTATTGGTGTTTCTACTGTCTCGGGCCCCGTGCGTGTCCGTTTTGTTGTTGTTGTTGTTGTTTCCTGTGTAGTGGGCTGCGTGTGTGTTTTTGTGTTTTAATTGTGTTTTCTTCCAATGTTGCGAGGCCCCTGTGTGTCATTTCATTGTTTTGTTTTCCAATGTGTTCGGCGCCATGTCACTTTTATTGTTTTTTCCAATGTTTTGGACTCTGTCTGTGCAGTTGTTATTATTTTTCCAATGTTTCCGTGATTCAGAAGCAGAAAACATTGGAACAACCAATAAAAGCCATGAGAACCATGATTTTAGAATTATTTCGTCCGGATGGTGTCACGCCTGCAGATAGGTTGAAAATCATGGTTGTTATTAGTGTTTTCCAAGGTTTTTGGCTCCTTGCGTGTCATTTTATATTGTTTTTTTTCCAATGTTTTGGGGTGTGCCGCTTTTTTTGTTTTTTCTATTGTTTTGGATTCCGTGTATGGTAAGTCGTAATGTTCGAGAGCGCACCAGTGACAAGTCGGACAACAGAGGCTGCGCAACTCACCTACGTCGTTCTGTCTTACATCCTAGGGCCCCTTAGAGCAACCAGCCCCCCTTGCCAATGTGGTGAAGGCAGAAAAGCCAAGAAAAGGGTAAGTACATGGGGAGGGCACCATATCTTTAATGTATGTATGTATGTATGTATGTCTGTATGTATGTATGTATGTATGTATGTATGTAGGTATGTATGTATAGAATATATGTATGTATGTTTGTGTGCGTGGGCGTGTGTTTGTGTGTTTGAGTTCATGCTCCCGGGCAGGAGGTACAGTGGCCAGCGGTCCTCCGCCGGTTCCTGGGCTTTCGCCTCTGCACAGAGGACCCTCTGGTTCTTAGTAGGGAATGGGGGAATGCATCCCTGTGATAGCCCCTTAAGGTCCCCTATAGTAGTCCCAATAACCCATTCCCGCATTCCCTACTAAGAACCTGTCCTAAACCATAAACCCTATCACAACCCTAAACCCTAAACCACAAACCCCTCAACCCCTAAACCCCTAAACCCTAAACCCCTAAACTTTGAACCAGAGAGAGGAGGAAGGCAGCAACTGGGCGAGGAGGCCGCTCCGCCATTCACAGCTGCACCACAGCGCAGCTCCTCTTCGGAGAAGAAGTTTTCGGATGAGTCCTCTCGGACCTACATGTATAAGACTGTGGTTAGCTCGGTTTGACATATCGCAGTGTCGCAGTGCAAGTAAGATAACTAATTACACAGCTGTAGTGAGGAAACTACAAGTGTTGTTGTGCTCGCTTTCGCTGTTTGCAGAGGAATCTGCAGCAGGTAGCACGATGTCAAAATTTCCACGTGTAGTTAGCCGAGGCGATTTTCCGAAACCCTACACTCCCCAAACCATACACACCCAACATCGAACCCCTAAAACCCAAATCCACCCGTTCATGTCCTCCAGACTCTTGCACGTAATAGATTGAAACCTAGGCACCCCAACATATAGCTAATATTAATAGAATAGGCTATCTTCGAACGGTTCTACCGGGCGTCTCTACGGCTTACGGAATTTACACTTGTTGTTGTTGATAGGGCGTTGTAAAGGGGCCTTAGCAATAAGACTGCATTTTCACACGGTGCAGGGGTGCTGAGGGTGTACATTGTAGTCTATGCATTTTGGGGATTCACAGGCGTGGATTTTTCAACTTGTTTGCAAGATCTCTACTTGATGGGACGAGAGTAGCTACCCAGTAGGCTTATAAGCAGGGAGACCCCGGGTTGGCCTTTTCGTGTGCGCCTAACTCGGCTTTTCAGCTAAACGGGAAATGTTCAGCCCTCCAAGGCAGCATAGTACCGGGTCCGAAACGCAAAAACCCGAAACCCTGAGCCCGAACTTCATCAAATCATGAACATCCTGCAGTGTGGTACTGGGAGGATCATGGGACTGAGTAAGTAAGGTTACATAAGATGTTAGTTATAACTAGCTTAATCGGTGTCATGAGGAACTTCTTTCTGTACTTACCTTTATTTACAACCCTAACTAGTAGGTCCCACGACCCTCCAAGTAGAACAGCTCCTGTACGAACTCCCGAGCTGCCTCTAGCCCTGAAGCCTTGCCCTTTTGGATGGTCCCTGTCCGACAAGGGGATCGGAAGACTTCGTAACCGACGTCTTATCCCTTATAAGGGTTCCTTATGAAGATACTTGTAGTATATTATACCAAACACTCTATAAGCATCGGAACAAGCAGCGATAGTAGCCCCCTGGTCCTCGTATATACTTGAGCCCTCAGGGTTCCTACCCAAGCAGATACGATGTGGCTACATGAACTTGCGTGGGCGCATGGACTTCTTTACGGAACATACTAGGGTCTACTTTATACCAAGCCCTAGGTAGACTCTATAAGCCTAAATTCCGACCTTTAATGCCGGAACCTGAAATCGATAAAGGCCCGAAGCCCTCAACCCTAAACCGCAACCCTGAACCCGAAGTGCTTCAACCCCTATAAACCCTATAAACCCAAAACCCCTAAGCCCGAACAAAGGTTCTGACCTGGACCCAGCTTCTCATGGTACGCGCCATCTGCGGCCACGGCCTCGTCACGGAGCCGTTTTTGCGCTCCCATGTGTGCGTTCAGCCCCCTGGGCAGCACACCGAGACTCAAGCACGGTTTTGACTTAAGGAATAAAGCCCTGAAGGATACATCCTGAAACCTAAATCCTTTAAGTTGAATTCAAGATCCCAGAGTAGAAATAAAGTCTATTGCCCACATGAGGTGTGTTGGCTTCTTTGGGCATTTATGGGTTTGAGCTTGATGGTTCAAGGGCTAGTATTTTTGTGCTTAGGATTTCAGGATGCTTTTCCAAACTGGGGTAGAGACGGGCACAGGTTCGCAATTTCGGATCTTATCTTGGTTCAGGGTCTGGGCCACTTTCACCACCGTGTTTCGAGGTTGCTGACTGGGACCGAAAGCGACTAAAGCCAAACGATCCTAAACGCGTAAACCCCACAACCTGAGGCTGTGTTTGGTGACGGGAATGCGTGCTTCAAGCCCATATGGGCTCCGTATTATTTGGATGATTCAGGGGCCTGAGGATGCTTCAGGGAAGAGTAAAAACAACCCTGAGCCCTAAACCCAGTATGTAGGTAACTGGTTTAGAGGTTAGGGTTTAGGGAACATTCTAACTCCGTGAGGTGCCGTCCGCGACTCTTCGGCCGCAGCCGCGGCGTGGGAAAGCACGTGCCGCGGCGCATCATGAAACAGCGCCCTAAGTAGCTACCAGGAGACCTGAAGATAGATGATAAGGAGCGACTTATGAAAGCGGAAAGCGCCCCACGCCCCAAAAGAAATCCTGAATCCCTGAACACTAAACCCTAAACCCCAACGCTCAATCAAGAAACTCTGAAAGCTAAAGATCCCCAAGAAATCCTTGATCCTGAGACCCTTAAGCTCAAATAGGTAAGACCAATAAGCCCTAAGTCCTGTAGCCGAAAAGACCTACTTTTTTAAGGAACTATATATAGAAACCCTAAATAAGGAACCCTAAAAAGGTAGGTCTTTTCGGCTACAGGAAAATCCTAAGAAACAAAACCCTAAACCCTCAGCCCAAGAACACAGGTGCTGGGCCAGCTGGCGCCTGCAGGGCGCCTGGCCGCATCTTGCCTTTCACTCCCGGAGCTTTGATGATTTTGGGTTCAGGGATGTAGGGCTTTATGGTTCAGGGTTGGAGGGCCTGAGTTTAGTGGTTTAGGGCCTAGGTGAGTGTTCGACAGTTTAAGGGCTGTTGTTCCGGGGTTATATAGGGCTGAAGGGGGTTTGTGGTTTTAGTCTAGTTGGCCCCACAAGGGGCTAATGGGTTGCTTGTAGGGTTTTAACAAATTCCACGGGGTCTCTGATAATCAGGGTTTCTATAGTTCTGTTGCTGTAGCTCCAAGCAACCCGAAGATAGTCGGTCCCGGGTTGAAGTAACCCAAAGACAAAAGCCTTAATGCAAACCAGCGAACACCGGCCCCCCTCTTCTCTATGTGCGTTTACATTGGGTGCCTGCTCTCATCCGTATTAAGGGAGGGTGGGATATTAGTCAGAGGTCAGCACGACTATAAGCCTCTATGGAGCCCTTAAAAAAAACCCTCGCAAAGCCTTTCCAATACCGCTCTAAAGCAAGACAGCCCATATAAGGCCCCATAGACAAAACACGGCAGCCCATAGAAAGCCCCATAAAGCACACTATATTACTGCGGCACCCTTATAGGGACCCCAAAAGGGACCCTAATTTAGAGAACTACCCCATATAACCCCCATAATACTCATCTTCCCCTAAACCCTATAGGGTTTATAAACCCTAAACCCTAAATCCCTAAACCCTAAACCCTAAATCCCTAAGCCCTAAATCCCTACAGAGCCCGAGTTAGAGCGAAGGCCGAGAACGAGATCTCCGCGGCTCAGAAGCCGTGGCTTTGGAAGGGCCCCGCTGTGTCGACCCGATCCTGGGTTCTGGAGTAGTTTAGGGTTTAGAGTTTAGGGTTTAGGGTACCATACTTGTGTGATTTTTTTGGGGCCTGTTCCTCAAAGTACTGGAATGTTGTTTTGTTGGTACCTGTTCCTTAAAGGAGCCATTTATGAAGACAGAAGTCGAAACTTTTTTCTACCTGGCTACTTCGAAGCCGAGGATCCGAGCCGGTCTCCACCAGGGTGGTTCTCCTCTTGGGGTGGCCTGGATTGGCTTTTGCTTTTGGGGGGTTTAGGGGTTAGGGACTCAAGGGTTCTGGGGCGTAGGGTTGCAGGATGTAGAAAGGATGTTTCGGACGTAAGGGACCTTCGGCTCAGGGCTTTAGAGGTTAAGGCTTAACTTAAGAGTGTTTTTTCGGGATTCACGGTATGGAAAAAGGGTCACTGTTTTTTTTTTGGTTTGGGCTGGGCTTTCCTTAGGAGCACAGCGACCCGATGGGGTAATTGAAAACAAGTTTGTTTTTTGATATGAGCTTGCAATATGGTAGGCAAGGTGTAGGACTTAAGGGTTCTACAAGTTTCAAGCTTAGCGTCCTAAACGCCGGTTACGCTGGTTACCCGGGACCAGACAGTGGGAGAGGTGTTCCGGGTCAGCACACGACAAAAGCCCGATAACCTACTGGCCGGAACCACACAACAGTGTGGCCCATAGCACAACAGGATGGGCTTGATTAACTACGTTTGCCAAGTTGCCGAGAAACAGTCCCTATCAATCCCACAGTCTTTTCACCTGAAGCCACATACAGTAGTCACGGCCACATCCGGCATAGGGTTTTGCAGACCAGAAAGCCGTAGCATCACGCTCCAGACGCACCGCCATCGAAGCAAACTGGTTGAAGCCAAGCCGGTTTCAGCGTTAAAAGGGCTCAGGATTCAGGCTTTATGTTCAAAGGGGTCGAATTCAGGGTTCCGGGCTCACTGATGGATGTCGGGGTCTGGTTACCAGTGTCTCCATGGCGTTTAGAGTCATGGGTGCGAAGCTTATGATCCAGAAAGCTGCTGACTTTCAGAAAGTGTACTTCAATGAAACCGCTAAACTAAACCTGATCATACCTTCAGACTTATCTTGGAGTCCTCTCCAGTGGAGTTTACTTACAGGGCTTTGGAGTTTCTGCAGAAGAGCCCGTGTCAGTTTGCATGTGTGTGCCTTTTCAGGTTTAGGAGGGATTTTGGGTCGAGGATGTCAGATTTATGGCACATCGGCTGCTGCTTTAAGGCTTTAGAGTACTTTAGAGATTTAAAGTGAGACCCAGCCCTTGGCTTTAGAGCGCAGCCTCATGGATTCAGGAAGTCTTGGAAAAGGATGTTTCAGAAAGGACGAACGCACCCGACGCAGGGATCCATCCCAAACCCAACTACCTTGAAAGCCACTTTCGGCTTCCAACCAGGAAGGAAGGGGAAGTCGATGAGGTTGTCGAAATGGTCGGCGGGTTAGCCGGCAACGTTGCACACGTGATCCCGCTTGGGGCTCCCCTGGACAAGCAGGCACGCTGCGTTCGGATGTTAGTGTGCACGAACAGTAGATTAATGTTTGTGGGTATATGTCCTTGGTTGTCATACGGTCGTAACTACTGCTAGAAGAATGCACAAAGCCTGGTTGCATTACCCTAAATCCTACATCTACGAGTGACCTGAACCACTGGCGTCCTGAAACCGTTTCTGCAAACAGCTCTTTCAAATCCGGACCAGTGCATATTATCCTGCTTGTGCAGCAACCCTCCGCTGCTTAACATGGCTGTGCCACTTTTCCTCGTGGTTTGCTTTCCCAGGATGAATTGTAGTAGCAGCAGCACTAGCACTAGAAATAGTAGTGGTGCTAGTGGTGGTGCGGCCTTCGCCGTAGCCAGGGCCGACGACGGCTAATCTCATTAACACTCTTCCTGACGGTTATCCAAAAACTTTTTGTAGAATCTGATTCGCTCAATTATTTTATTGTAGTTGCTGAGGCACCTCTACTAAATCCTGGGTTTGTAAGACTTGTCCGAGCATTGGGTCGACCCAGACTTTCGTCGGAGCGTTCGGCAGGCCAGGGTTAGGTTGGGCAAGCTTCATAAGCATAGCATTTGATTGCATAGTATAGTATAAGACAGTCTTTTATAGTATATTATGGCATGTTTGTAGCGTCTAAAAATCGAATATTATAGGTATATATTTTACTAAGCTCTAATATTATTTAGTATATGTTACCTGCCGACGGCTTGAGACTCCGGTTCCCTGGATCCCCGACTTCGGGATTTCGGATTGTTCTTACACGGACAAGGGCCCGCAGAAAAGAAAAAAACACAAAAGCACATAGAACAAGCTTGACCCGTGTACCAGCTTTGGGTACTACAGCGTTTCCATCACACCGCACCTCCGAAAACCCTAAAACCTGGACCCGCCAGTTGGGTTCAGGTGCGAAGCATTCAGCCTAACAAGCTGCGAAGCTTGCGCCTTGGAGTGAGAAGAAGAGCCCCTTTTGCAGCAGGACTAATCCCTTCCCCCATTTAGTAAACACTCCTCATAATAAAGAGGCATTGGTTCCAATCCTTCCGAAATCATCCCTGCATTCTAAATTAAAACCTACTAGTTGCATTAGGGAGTCCGGGAGCAAGAGCAGGAGCAAGAGCAAGAGCCAAAGCAAGAGCAGGAGTAAGAGCAAGAGCCAACGCACGAGCAAGACTAAGTCCAAAAACGAGGAAGAGCAGAAGACGCAGGAGCGGGAGCAAGACCTGCAGCAGGAGCAAGAGCAACAGCAATATCTCTCAAAAGTGAGTAGAGATAAAAATGCCCTTAATAATAAAACGCTTTCCGAGTTTTGTTGGGGGGAGGTGGCCCCCGCCGATTAGTCTTGGGGGGAAGGGATTAAGGAGAAGCCTAAGGCTGCGTGGTTACTATGTATTTACCGTGTATGCATATATATATATATGTATATATATGTATACTAATCCACACATCTATCTAGACATATATATATACTAATATATATATATATATAATATGTATATATATAATGTATATATATGTAATGTGTATATATATATATGTATATGTACATAAACAAAGTACTATAGATATATATGTCAGGGTCGAGCATTGTTGCGATTTCCATTGTTGCTGCTCATCGAAGTTTGCTTGATATCAAACTGAACCTCCTAAAGCCAAACTCCCGTGGAATGCAACTTCAAGGAAGAACTCCGTCGCTGAACTGGCTCGAAGACTTCTTGGGCATTAAGTGTGAACTGTGTAACTTGTGGCCGTGCTTTGATCATCAACTGCTCTACGTGTCTGTTCGTCCGTCTACAAACCTACATGTCTTTCTCCCCACCTGCCCACTGTTGAGGATGTACGCACACAAATGTATTTATGCGTACATATATGCATGTACACATATGTACATATAAAAGAAAACAATAAGTAAGTAATAATTTGGAATATATATATATATACATATATGTTTATGCAGGTAGATAGACATATATACGTTTGCATTTATACATCACCTTGCTGCATGCGTTCATAATCTGTATATATATATGTATATATGTATATATGTATATATGTATATATGTATATATGTATATATGTATATATGTATATATGTATACATGTATATATGTATATACATATATATATACACACGTCTATATGTTGTATATATGTATATATGTGTACATTCACATGATCTTTGCATATATACATATTATACATACATACATATATATATATATATACATATCTTTAGCGAGAGAGATCACAAGCATATACATGTACATGTACATATACATACACATCTTCATTCACACATGCATACACATATACATATACCTGTGCATATACATATACACGTATACGCACGCACGCCTCTGTGTGTAACTTGTGTAAAGTAAGGAATGAACATACAAACACATGAACGAACAAACAAACAAAAATAAGTTCACGAGCTCCCAAACAGTAAACCCAAACAAAGGAACTCTTGGGACTATCCCGAGTGGATCAGCCGCCTTCCTCGCGGAGATGCATGCCCCGAGCCGGCGCAGCCCACGCCTGCGCAGCCACGCTCGGAGGTGCTGCCGGCATTTGCAACGAGGCTGACACCTTCGAACAATGCCTCCGTTGCAAGGACCCGTACCGTACCTGCTGCATCTTGCCGCATATTTCTTATTTCTTCAGCCAAAGCCAGTAGCAAGAATAGCAATGAGATATCAGTAGTAGTAGTAGTAGTAGCAGTAGCAGTAGTAGTAGTAGTAGTAGTAGTAGTCGTAGTAGTCGTAGTAGTCGTAGTAGCAATAGCAAGAGCAATAAAGCGGATGACCTAAGATCTTCTTGTCCTGGAGGACTGTGGCCCTCCCCGATCGCAAGCAGCTGCTGCCGGTGCCAGATCGCGAAGAACGATGCCTCAACCTTTGCCGAAGTCGCCTGGGCGATGAGATAAGGGGGCTCATATGTATGTATGTTTTATATATATATATACATATATGTATATATATATATACATATATATATATAGAGAGAGAGAGAGAGAGAGGCTTGAGGGTTTAGGGCGTATGAAGTCTCGCGTCTGCTTCCACCTCGTCCAGATTCTTCTACTTCACTACAAGCACTCTAGAATGCACACGGTTCGCATCTTTGCCAAGAGTTAACTCAGAGTGCAAGGCTTATTCGACAAGGAGGTCGCCAAGAAGTTATTGAGTTCAGCTGCAGATGCTCAGCCACGACATCTACTTGGCTGCTATGCATCTGTGGGTGAAGACTCGGCTGATGAAAAACCACGTGGACGCCAGTGTTGTGGAAACTTGCTTTTCGACAAGTCAGCAATAAAGAACCACACGCACGTCTGCTTGTTCCAGCTTGCATCGCATGAACACCGAATTAAGAGAGGCCAAACCCAAACCCTTGCTCATGCACAACGGTTCCATTCAGCGTCTCGATTGTTTCGAGGCAGCTGCAGCCCGTGAGGTATGCCAGACTCTAAACTCTCATTCCCGTTCTTGACCCATCTTTAGAAGAAGGAAGAACTCGTGCATCTCGTGGAAGTGTTCGTAATCACGATACCTATATGTCTCTTTGCATGTCTGTGTGATGGAAGTCTTAAATCTTTAGCTCTCACATTTCGCAAGAGCTGGGAAACACAAACGACCATCGTGTGCCGCAGTGACTTCTATATTCCATAGATCAGCCCCTCAGAATCATGAAAGGGTCGCTTCTTTAGCTCTCACATTTCGCAAGAGCTGGGAAACACAAACGACCATCGTGTGCCGCAGTGACTTCTATATTCCATAGATCAGCCCCTCAGAATCATGAAAAGGGTCCCAAGCAGATCGCCCTCGTTTGAAACGACGCAGCGAAACCCCGAAGTAGCCCTGAAATCTTAAAACCCTAAGCCCGGAAAGTGAAAAGACCCTAAACCTGAAACCTCAATTCAGGGGAAAGGCCCAGCTCCCGAGCATAGATGTCAAAATGATTACTAAGAATATTCCCAGGGTTCTCTATTCTAGCTCTACTGTCATACCTATCCGGTATTATACCTTAGGGTGCCTGACGACCTTGTAGAATTCTACCGTACCACAAAGCCCTATTTCTCTTGAGACTGAGACGCAGATCTCGGCTCAGCCATGATGCATGCAGCAGGCTAGCCGCAAAGCCCGAGATGGTAGAGTCAGCGAAGCAAAAAGCTCGATTCTTCAACAGCTTTTATCAACATGGGGCGTAGGGTTCAGAGTTGAGGCCAAGTCCCCCCCATTTTCAGCCAGAACACCCGAACCGGACATACACCCCAAACTCATTAAACCCAGAACCTAGAACGTTGGTCCAGCCTAGATGTATCACCCCCGGAACAGTAGCTGCCCAGAGAACCCAGTACCTCTTGGTTATGCGCTTGGCACGGTGTTTCGGACATTCTAAAAGCCAAGCTTTTCGGAATGAACACCCAGACTGAATTCCCAAAACGTGAACCCTAAACCCTAAACCCCCAGCTTAAGGCCCTCGGTAGTTTCGTTATCGGGTTGTTCGGTTCCCGGAGACTCCAAAACCCACTAATCAAGGAATATGCCTTAAATTATAATAATCAGGAACCCTACTAAGATTTCAGGTATATTCCTTAATTTAGGGGGTTTTGGAGTCTCTGGGTTCATGGCACCCACGGACACGCCACCTCTAGCAGTGGAGACAGAGCTCGAGCGGGAGCCCAAGAGTTTGGGTTTAGGGTTTAGGGTTTAGGCTTTTGGGGGTTTAGGGCTTAGGGCTTAGGGTTTAGGGTTTAGGCTTGTGGGTATAGGGGGGGCTAGGGGTTTTCGACTTTAGTGGCTCAGGGCTTCGGGTCTTAAGGCATAGGGGTTTTAGGGTTTAGGGTTGCTGGCTGGTTTAGGGTTGCTGGCTTCTGTTCTTCGGGAGAGCCCGACTTATCAATGAAGGAATATCTACCTTAAATCATAATATGAGGCCCCGTGCAAGTTACGGAAACCCCTAAACTTTGAAACCCCAAAAAAACCCAAAAAAAGAGTGAAGGTGTATCGGGTTGCTGATGTCCTTCGTGGCGTTACAGCTTGGAGATCACATGAACTTTAGGGTTTAGGACTCAGGGTTTAGGGATTTCGGGCTTAGGGTTCAGGGGCTCTTTCAGCAAACAAACCCTCAACCCTAAACCCGAAACCGCACGGGGCTCAGGATTTTGGGCCTTGGGGTTTTCCCTGTTTTGTTTGTGTTCCCTGGCTGGTAACTTTGGGGTGTAGGGTCTTCAGGGTTGTAGAGTTGATGGTATAAATCCTGCATTACCTTATAAGGGACCCTAAACCATGGTAACTACTGTAGATTCCTTCTCATGGGTTCTGCAGGGTTTACATCATCAAAACCGTAGGAGACTGGTGCTCACAACGGCAGGAACCTCCATCACACAGGGCTCTTTAACCTCGAGCTTCACAGGTTTCAGGGACTTCAAGAACTCTTCAAGAATATTTCGGGTTTAGGGCCTAAGTTTAGGGGTTAAGGGGTTTAAGGTTTATATAGGGTTTAGGGTTTAGGAACTCTTAAGAATTTATTTCGCATAACTACTCTATAGCCTTTAGTAAATCTCCAAAACCAGCTGTCCTAGTGATTAGATCCTTTGCAGCCTTGGTAGATCATTCTACGGCCCGGGTTCCTATAAAGAGCTCCTGACCTCGGTGAGAGTACTAGCGTTGCAAGGATTTTGGGATTAGAAGCTACAGCTACATACAGCTACCTTCAGGTACACCCTACGATTATTGTCACGAATACTCTCATTAGCAATATTTCGGGTTCATGATTGTTACATTTTCTTTGTGATTCAAAATTAGTGTGATCCTGCTGGATGCAACATCCACGGAAGGTTCGAGCGATGCATGTCAATGTTCGGTCCATCAGACGAACTGTGGGGAGTGGAGGATAGATGAGTGGCTAGGTGCATGGAGCAGAGGCTAGGGAAGTGCAAGTCAGCAATCTGCAGATGTAAAAGTTGCTTCTACCTCAAGCGCTGGATGAAGAAGCCAGGCCAAAGCCCATTAATCTGAAAACCTTGGTATAGCAGGTCGAGGTTTCTCTAGCTTCCGCTTGGTCTCCGGCTCCAGGGGGTGGAGGTTTCTTATCGTTGGAGACGGCTCTAAGAAGACAGGTTGGGGCATGTTAGTTTGAAAAAACCCTGAAACAAGCTGAATCAAACTCCAATAACCGTCGCTTCCCGTTTACCGCTGAACCTAAAAGCCAGTCAAAACATGCGATCTGGACCTGTCGTGGATTCTGCTAAATGGCTAAGTCCAAACAAGAATCTAGTCAGATACAAGGCGAGCCTCCCAAGCATCTGCCCCACAGGGAAGAAGCAAAAAAGCAAACACAAAGCAACAACAATGGCAAATACAGCGTATTCCTACTGGCACCAATGTTATCAGATGTTATCAGTATTCATAGGCATATAGTGTGTTTTGGGGTACTCAAAATATGTTTTTGTTTTAAGCTTTATGTTAATCCGTTTTTAAGTTTGTTGGGATTTGCAGCATGTAGAATATGGAACCTGATCAGCGTTATTTCAGTTGTTTGTTTGATTTAGTAAGTGTTCAAGCCAAGGTTTGCTTGATTGTCTTGGGAAATTGCCTTTCCAATCTTATTGTTGGTGCCTGACCGAGATGTATGAATTCTCAATTTTCTTCCTGCTACGTCTGTCCGAACCCTGAAGCTTAGGGTTCAGGGCCTAGGGTTGAAGCCGTTCTGAAATCCCTGAGACCCAAGCTCCGCGATCCTTTAAAGGATGGATATCCTGGAATCTGCACAAGTAAGGCTCCAGAAAAGCTCGATGCAACAAGTCAGAGCTTCGCAAGTTCTCGGGCGCTGCTGAAATAAGCGCATGTGTCAACTTGATCAGTTTCCACTCAAAGTACTCAAGACCCCTCCCTACGGGTCCATGTGCCCAAATAGTATATACTTTGGCCTTAATGTAGTCCCTATATAGGTACTTTGGGGCCAAAGTATATACTATTTGGGTACATGGACCCTTAGGGCCTGTTTACTCGTTCAGGCCATGGCGGCAGCAACTCTCTGAGGGACGCCGACTCCACATCTGGAGTGCCAGTGCAGGACGGCCAGAGGGCAATGCCTGCAGAGATCTCGGAGTTCGAGTTGTCTGTGCGAGGTCTCGGGGTGCCGGCACGGTCATAAGGAAGCCCCGGGCTAGACAGGCATGCCAGAAGCTTCGGAACAGATAATTGGGACGTGACTGACCCAACCGCGAGCAACGAGAAGATAAGCAGAAGTTGCAGACACACTCGTGCGCTTAATTCCATTTTCATTTGAGAGGCGTGTGCCTGTCCTACAAAACAGGATGCCAGTTGCTGTGTTTGTTCTGCTCGGCGCTGCCACTTGATAAGTTTTTGCACTAGCGGCTAGCGTAGACGTTCACCGAGCGTTCAAGTTGAATCCTCAAAATGTGGGTATCCAGGGTTGGGGGTTGTGTGCCTCTTCATAAGTTGCGCTTAAGCCTGCGCCCACAACCCTCCGACCAACCTTCAGCGTGTAGCTCTGATTTCAACAGGCTGCTGGACTGTGGGTCATGTCATCGATGCCACCGACTCGCGTGTAAAGGCTCTTTTGGGGGGTGCCGCAACGTCGAGTTTTTTTTTGGGGGGGCATGTGGGTTTTCGGGAAGAGGATTTATTTGTTGTTTAGTGTTGTGTTGAGTATTTTTGGAAGGGGGGGAACTGGTGTGTAGACCCCAAGGCTCTGCGGACATGGGAATGCCGTTTGCATATGTTGCTTAGCACAACTCCATCCCAGAATCGTCTCTCAACTCGTTTATAAAAAACCAGCAGAGGTCTAAGCAACAAGCTCCAGCTTTGAACATCTCGCTCACCATCCCTCCCGGCAAAGCCGCACACATTGCCACAACTGAGAAGTCATTGTTGTCCGCTGCGGCTGCTGCTGCTGCTGCTGCTGTTGCCGCTGTTTTGTCTTGTTGCTTTAGTTTGCTTCAGTTGGTTACGCTCATTCTCGTTCGCTATCTCTTCCGGTCTCACTCTCGCTAGCTAGGCAGCCCTCCGGGTGAAGTGTCTTCGTGCTTCGTATGCGGCCCACGTCATTGCATTTGTTCATTGATGCCCTGACGAAGGTGGAATACACCTGCAATGGTGAGCGCGTGGAGCTTGGGGCATGCTCTATGCTATGAGATGCATTCATGATGGGGGGGCCTCGAATCTCTGGTTGGGGAACTATTTGCCTACTCGGTTTGTTCGTCTTGGTATCAGAGCTGTGTAGACCAGAA